TTTTTCCCGTCCCACTACCAATCAAGTGTGTTAGCTAGTGAACGTTTTCACGATGCTTATCAATCATTTGAAAACGCTATACCCAACAACAGAAGACAACGACGGTGCTGGTGAATCTCCCAGTCCAACTAAGAACAGATACAAGGATTAAAATAACGGAGGGTAGAATGACTGGATTCTAACTCCCCAGTTCAAAGTAGAGAAATTGAGAACAAAAAAGCGATAACTAAACTGTGCTTTTAAAAGAACTGACCTTCAAACTGGATACAAAAATTTTGTGCTCAACAAAATTCCAGATGTTGATATTGAAAATGATGATCAAGGCCCGCAAAACACTTCTATGTCTCGACCTCTTGACTCTTGTCTAATCTAAGTTACCGGTTTTAATTTTTAATTTTTGTCCTGATTTTCTAATTGACGTTATTGCAGAAGTCAATTATTTTTTATAAAATTTACTTCTGATAATAGTAAAAGTAAGTTAGCAAAACTAAATTTCGGCATTTAGCAAAAATGAGAACTAGTTTTGTTGTTTTTGATCTTTTAGATTTTTAGCAATGATAAAAAAGTTTTCAATTAGTTTCATTTCATACAAAACCGAAAACTTCAAAAGCTAAAAAAAAAAAACAATTTCAGCAAAAAATTATTAGAAAACGTTTTTGAAAATTTTGTGATTTTTTTGGTTTTTGCCTATTTTACTATGGCTGCTGTTTATTTCTAAGTTTTACTTTTCGTTCAGATTTTTTTATCACATCACGCAAAAAAAAACAAGACTAGTTTGTAAAAATATATTTTGTTTAAGGACTATGGTCGGAACTATGGTCGGAACCATAGTCCTTTGTTTAAGGACTATGGTTTTTCTGTGCTACTTGCACACTAACTGGCAGTTCTTGTTCTGAATTTGTTTTTTTCTCCTTCGTCTTATCCAGACTACAAACGAGGTCGCCCCTAATTTTAGGAAAAGTTTCTAAACAAGAAGATGCAACTTGAATCAACTATGCTGATACTTCTTATATCTGTACATTTCAGTTTTAAAACTCATATATGATGCATTAAGAACAAAATTTGGAAAAAAAATCAGAAGATTTACTGCAGCGCATCATTGGAACAATTTGCCTAGTGAATAGTTTGCCCATGATAACTTCGATTGAGGTTGGACTCAGTGAATTCTTTTCTCGGTCATTTTTTTGAAGTCTCATTTGTTCAATAAATACTTTTGCAAAATTAGTTTCAGTTAGAAATTGATAAAATGAGCAAATCTAAACAACAAGGTTTCCGCAACCTCAGAATCATCATAACATTAGAAAATAATAAAGTTAGTTGATCTAAACAATCAAGAATCCAAAACCTCGATGAAACCATTAATTTTAGGAGCTTCCAATTGAACAACAGATTTCAATCCAATTTTTTCCCGTCCCACTACCAATCAAGTGTGTTAGCTAGTGAACGTTTTTACGATGCTTATCAATCAATTGAAAACGCTATACCCAACAACAGAAGACAACGACGGTGCTGGTGAATCTCCCAGTCCAACTAAGAACAGATACAAGGATTAAAATAACGGAGGGTAGAATGACCGGATTCTAACTCCCCAGTTCAAAGTAGAGAAATTGAGAACAAAAAAGCGTTAACTAAACTGTGCTTTTAAAAGAACTGACCTTCAAACTGGATACAAAAATTTTGTGCTCAACAAAATTCCAGATGTTGATATTGAGAATGATCATCAAGGCCCGCAAAACACTTCTATGTCTCGACCTCTTGACTCTTGTCTGATCTAAGTTACCGGTTTTAATTTCTAATTTTTGTCCTGATTTTCTAATTGACGTTTTTGCAGAAGTCAATTATTTTTTATAAAATTGTTTTCTGATAATAGTAAAGGTAAGTTAGCAAAACTAAATTTCGGCATTTAGTAAAAATAAAAATTAATTTTGATGTTTTTGATCTTTTAGACTCTTCGCAATGATTAAAAAAAGTGTTCAATTAGCTTCATTTTATTCAAAATCTAAAATTTCAAAACCTAAAAAAATCACTTTCATGAAAAAATTATTTGAAAAACATTTTGAAATTTTTTGAATTTCTAGTATTTTTTTTTGGTTTTGCCTATTTTACTCTGGCTGCTGATTATGTCTAAGTTTTTTCTTTTTTGTTCAAGTTTTTTTTACCACACCACGCAGAAAAAACTAGACTAGTTTGTAACGAAAATATATATTTTTAAGGCTATGGTCGGAACATTCCGTGCTACTGGCTGTTCTTGTTCTGAATTTGTTTTTTTTCTCCTTCGTCTGATCCAGACTGTAAACAATGTCGCCCCTAAATTTAGCAAAATTTGTAAAACAAAAAAAATGCAACTTGTATCAACTATGCTGATATTTTTTATATCTGTACATTTCAGTTTTAAATCAAAAACAAATTTTGGAAAAAAGATCTTTAGATTTACTGCAGCGAATCATTGGAACATTTTGCCTATTGAATAGTTTGCCCATGATAACTTCAAATGAGGTTGGGTTCGGTGAATACTTTTCTTGGTCAATTGTTTGAAGACTCATACGTTCAATAAGTAATTTTGTGAAGTTAAAAACAACAATGTTTCCGCAACTTCAGAATAATAATAACTTTAGAAAACAATAAAATTAGTTGTTCTAAGCAATCAAGAATCCAAAACTTTGATGAAACCATTCAATTTAGGAATTTCCTAATGAACAACAGACTTCGATCCAATGTTTTCAATCCCATTGCCAAGGGTGTGTGCTCTCTAGTGAGAATTTTACTATGGTTATCAATCAATTGAAAATGCAATGGTCAGCAACAAAAAAAACAATGACGGTGCTGGTGAATTTCCCAGTCCAACTAGCAATAGATACCTTGATCAAAATAACGGAGGGTAGAAGGAGTGGTTTCTAAATCCCCAGTTCATGTTAGAGAAAACATGAATAATAAACAGTGTGAACTATACTGTGCTTTTAACAGAACTAAACTGCAAACTGGAGACAAAAATTTTGTGTTCAAGTAAAATTCCGGATTTTGATATTGAGAATGGTGATCTAGGCCTGCAAAACACTTCTATGTCTCAACCTTTTTAATTTTTGTCTGATCTAAGTTACAGATTTTATTTTCCAATTTTTATACTGATTTTTTAATTGACATTTTTGCAGAGGTCGATGGCAAAATAAGTTTTTTTTATAATTTGATTTATGATAATGGTGAAAAGTAAATAAACGAAACTAAATATCGGCACTAAGCGAAAAAAATATTGATGTTTTCGTTCTTTTAGTTTTTTAACAATGATAGAAATCTTTGGTTTAATCAAATTTTGGTTTTTTTGTTCAGATCTTTTTATCACACCTCGCAGAAAAAAATTAGAAATGTTTGTAATTTTTTTAAAATTTTGTAAAGACGATGGTCGAAGCATTCTGTGCTGATTGCATTTTAACTGGCTATCCTTGTTCTGAATTTGTATTTTTTTCTCCTTTGTCTTATCCAGACTGTGAACAATGTTGCGCCTAACTTCAGCAACTTTTTCTAAAGAAGATGTAAATTGAATCAACTATGCTGATAATTCTCAAATCTGTACATTTCAGTTTTCAAGCTCATATATGATGTATTAAAAACAAATTTCGGGAAACAAACGTTTAGATTTACTGCTGCGCATCATTGCAACAATTTTCTTTGTGAGCAAAAAACAGTTTGCCTATGATAACTCTAAGTAAGGTTGAATTTGGTGAACTCTTTTGTCGTCAGTTTGTTTGAAGACTCATTTGATCGAAAAAAACTTGTGTGAAATTAGTTTCAGTTATAAAACAATAAAATTAGTTGATCTAAACAACCAGGAACCCGCAACTACACTGAAACTACTAATTTGAGGATTTCAATCCAATGTTTCCCACCCCACTGCCAATGGTGTGAGCTAGCAAGTGAAAATATTCACGATCCTTAACATTCGATTGAAAAAAATATGGCCACCAACAGAAGACATCGACGGTGCTGATGAAACGCCCAGTTAAATTTTAGAAACGATGATTTAAATTACGGTAGGTAAATGGATCGGATTTTAAATCCCAAGCCTATGTTTTAAAAAAAAAAACTAAGGAATAACATGAAATTAACTGCATTACCGGGCCAAACTGTGCATTTTGTGAATTGAATGTGGATTCCGCAAAAAAGACTCCTGGGACAAATAGCTAAACACTGTATTGCTCAAAATTGCTCCAAAAACAGGCAACTTTGCGGAATCCGCAACAAAATGTGTGGAATCCATGAACAAATAGTAATTTATGTACTTAAGTAAACTTAAGCTGCCGCGGAATCCGCAACTGTAAGAAGAACCCGCAAACTGTGAGCGGATTCCGCAATTGTAAGTGGATTCCGCGAATTTATGCGGATTCAGCTTATAATTAACGGAGTCCGCATACAATTTGCGGATTCCGCGAATTTTAAGCGGAATCCGCAGATATTTGCGGAATCCACTTACATTTGCGGAATCCGCTAACATTTGCGGAACCCGGAACAACTACCTATATTAGCTCGTTGGGGAACTTGCAACAAAATCGGTGTGCCGACAAAATTTTTGTTACAGGTATTTGTAAGCGGAATCCACTGAAATTTTGTAAGTGGAATCCACTTACATTCTGAATTTTTTTTTAAAATTTGTCTGTGGAATCCAGGAGCATACAGACACAAAATTGTGCGCCTATCCAGTGCACAGTTTAGCCTCATAATGTGTGCTTTTAATGATCTAGGCCCACAAAAGACTTCTATGTCTTGACCTCATGACTGTCTTGTCTGATCTAAGTTACAGGTTTTAATTTCTAACTTTTATACTGATTTTTTAATTGACATTATTGCAGGTCGATGGCAAAATAATTTTTTCTTTTTATAATTTGACTTTTGATAATGGTAAAGGAAAAACCAAAATTAAATTTCGGCATTCCGCGACAAGGAAACAAAGTTTTGATAAATTTGATATTTCACATTTTTAACGACTATAAAATAAAAGGTTCACTCACCTCAATTTCATCCAGAAATCAGAAATAAGAAAAAAATAATAAAATAGAAATTAAACCTTAAAATATTTTACGCCAATTCCAGCGTAAGTATCCAAAAAATTGCGTAGATAATAACAGGAAAACTTAAGTCGATAATGCACTTAAACTTAAAAAACACTTCAAAAGTGAAAGGAGTCTATAATTTTATGAAATAAGACTTGAAAGAATTACGACCTACCATTGCGGATGTATAATAAAAAACTGCGTAGCTTTTTAATAAAGTGCTAGGCTAGATTTATTCGAATATGGCACGACAGACTGGAAACACATCTCTTAATATGGTGCAATTTTAACCGACAACTAAATCAGTCGAATGCTAGAAGAAAACATCCCTGTCCGAAAGAGGAGAGCGTTTTCTCAGCAAATCAAAGAGTCAGTTAAATGTTGCTTTCTTAAAAAAACAACTGTTAGTCAGTTAAGAAAAAAAATAGAACACAATAATTCGTTTCTACATTTTTCTGCTTATTTTACAAATATAACCATTTGAATTGCAATTTTATTGATACCAAAAATCTGTGAATATTAGTTCGCATTCATAAGGTTGATTGCTGTGAAAATTTAGGGTTGGAACAAGATTGTACCAACGACCAGCTCAATCTAACGCTTTCAATTTTTGAATTTGTTGGAAGCGGGAATGATAATAAATTAAAACACTTACCCGGTTCAAAAAACAAAATCACGGGGACAACATCACGGGAACAACAAAAAATGGTATCAAAAGTATTATTTATCAGAAGTTTCTATCAAAAGTTATCTTTCATACCCCAAATGAAAGGATATATCAAAAACTATTCTGGAATAGCAGCAATTTTTTTCTCTTTTTGATTCACAGTAAAACGAAGTTTCGGCAAAATGGCATCCAAAAAAGCAGGAACAATTCGAGACACAAAGCCGGATTTGTTTCCTGTGAAGTTCCTACAAATGTCTGTCCTTCAAATTTTTTTCTTATTTTTCAACAAATAAAATGTAAATGAAAACAATAAAGTCAGGAAGTAAACATGATGAATTGAAATGGTATTTTAAGAAGAAATAGCTCTTCCAAAGATAGAATTTCTGTCAATCAAAAGCGTGACAACCTTTTAAAATACAAGAATTTGAAATAACGGCTCTTTTGCATTAACTTCAACAGACATAAGAAGTGTTGTGTGTACAGAGATTTTAAATGGTCATGAATTTAAGCGTGAAATCTAAAATGTTTTTTCGCTTGTTTGTAATGGTGCTAAAATTCATTTATGATCAAAAAAGACAAACACAATTTCGTTGAGAAAAAAATTGATATGATGAAGAAAAATTCAAAATGGTCCATCCATCATGCCTTCAAGCTAAGAAGTTCATTTAAGAAAAACGATTAAAAAAACTTAAGAACTCGTTTTTCAACTGATTATGTTTTAAAAAAAGCTATCTTATTAATCTTAACAAAGAAGTGGTTGCATTTCAGGTCACAGTAATAATAGTCAATTTCAACAGAATTTTCTGAAGTAAATTGAGTTCAAGTTGATTTATTGCAGGCTAATGGAGAAACAACTATACATGGCGTTATTCAATTGAAAACTAAACAGAGCTTCTAGTTGCTCCGCTCTGTAAATACCACTGATTGTTCCCGATCACATAACTTTTTTAATGTTTCTAGAAAAACTCAAAAATCATTTCTCACAAAATTTTTCTCTATTGGAAGCCTATGAAACCCAATCAATTAGTGCGATCATCAATTAGATTGCAGGTATTGAAAATTGTCGAATAACTTGTCGACATTCGTATAAAATAGTTTCGCATGGTCTTCAAAATGATAAGATTGATAAGATTGACTAAAAATGATTAGAAAACCCATTTTTTATACATTAGTAGTAGTGCATATGTCTAGTTATATAAAACTTCTACAATTTGATTGACATAGTTTACAATTCTTAGACTAAGTTTCGATCGCAATTATTATTTTGAGCGTAGTTTTTTTTATTTCGATCGCTGAAACTTGACTAAAAAAACCCAAGCTTAACTGTTCCACTTTTGTTCAAAAGTCGTAGCAAAAAATTGATCGCACAGAGATATAACATTTTCAGTATTGCCCAGAGGCAAAGCGGAGCACCGTTTGCGATACAACACAAATATAGAAAAAACATATGTCGATAAAAATGAAACAAAACAGTTTGAAAAACACTATGCTAACTAAAAATTTTCAATGTCTCGTTAAAAGATAACTAGGGGACCAGTCGCTAAATGAAAATTTGACTATTCAATCGCAAATAGGGACCAGTCGCTAAATGAAAAATTTGACTATTCAATCCCAAGATATGCTCGCTCAATCTCCGTAAGTTGGTAAAAAACTATGAAGTCGAATGCTTTGGATTATAAAGAGTATTTATTGGCAAAAACTCTCGGAAACTCAATAATTCATCATATTTTTGGTCAAGCATAACATCATGTAACTTGAATTCTCAACTTGTTTCGGTACAAATCGGCGCAAGCTAGCCACAAGAACCGGTCGGTAATGTCCTTGAGACAAATTGTTCTTTTTGGCGGTCAGCCTTAATCAAGGCTGAACCGAATTAGAACCAAAAAACAGTAAAAAACGGTCAAATGGGGCTGTAGCCCCTCGTGTCTACTTGTTTTAAGAACTGCATATGGGGGGACTCGAACCCGGTTGACCGGCGTGAGAGACTTGTCTCTAGGCCGCTCGGCCAACTGTGCTTGTTTAATATGCATTGATTTATACTCTTGTTTTATATGCATCTATACTCTACATTTGCGTTGCAACAGTCAAAGTTTTGTGTCAAAAACTTTTGAACGTAGCCGCTTATGCAGAAGAAATTCACACAATCTGTTTTGAACGCAAAAACTACAGATTTGGGTTGCTAGTTTTCCAGAAAAGCCAAATAAGCTTGATAAACGGTTAAAAAAAGATTTTTCGAGTGCCATAATTTTTGGGTAGAAAGGTATTGGGCGTAGTCAGTTACGCAGGGACCTTTCCAACCCTTTATTTAATCTGAACAAAAAATCTCAGATTTGAGAAGGTAACTTTCGGGAAAAGCCAATTGCAAAAAATGGTCAAAATCTTTCATGTGGCGCCTAAGCCGACAAAACTTGAGCAGACAAACGGAAATCCGACTAGTCAACTCTTACTGGATACCTTTTCAAATTTTCTTACATAGTGAAAAAACAAGGTCCTGGCTGGACTCGAACCACTGACCTTAGGCTGCAATAGCATCCGCATTTTCTTCTGTAAAAGTAGGAAGTAGGAAGGATTCTTGCCAGAGTTCATTATTATAGCAAAATCAATTATATTATAGCAAAATCAATGTAAGAAAAGTTATCTACGGGGAAAAAGTCTTTTTACCGATACAAGACACTTTGTCCGGCAATAGTAACGATAGATTTAATGAGACCAAGTAATAGGAGTATAGGATCAAGATCGCCAGTAGAATAAAAAGTTGCAAGACTATATCCGGTCGTAACTAGATAGCGTGACCAATATAAGCTGGACTCAATCAGAAAAAACTATCTGAAGTAACGCCTCGGACCCATCTTAAGGATTTTAATTCAAAACAAACTCATCTAAAGTTTTTTTACAAACTACAAATGCATAAACTACAATTGCTCAGCAAGAACTTTCATTATTTTTTATTTTGCCTGTTTACAACAAGATCAAACAATTGCATCTAACACCTTAGAAAATCTGATATTTTAAAAGACAGTTTCCAGTAGTTAAACAAAAAAGCACAACATACTTAGCAATTTTTAACTAGATATTTCAGTTTCGATCAACTGCACAATCAAATATCAAGTTTTGAGTCCACTGCGTTTGATTTCAAGAATATTCACATAAAAATTGAGATTGAGTAGGAAAAAATACGCTTTATTTTCAGTTTCTCAAACAGAAGACGGTGCAAACTTTCGTTTAAAGAGCAAATAGAAGATATAGCACTTGATGATCTTTCTATGGCGAATTGTTTTGAATCTTTCAGAAATTATAAACGTTTGCTGTACAGAAATTATCAATGGCACTCGTTGTTTGGCTGATGTACAGGCATGTACTACAAATTGATGCGTTTATATTTCCATAGGCCCGAAACCATAACATAATTCGTGATCCATTCAATTTTGGATGCGGATTCCAAATTCGCTAAATAGATCTTAAAAATAGCTGGGGTCTTTTCGGATATACCCTCTTTCCTAAATGATAAAAAATGAACATGAAAAATTTGATCACAGCGGAATTCACATCGACGAGGAGCAACAGGCGCGACCAAACTTTCCCACCCATTTCAAGAATTCCGCGATCGAAAAAATCCCTCTAGATTTTCGCAACCAAGATAGAGGTAGTGCGCCAAGGAACGGTGCGACAAAAAGAATGACGCAACGCGACATGCAGCGGCGTGACGCGGTCAAACTTTGCAATTTACAAATTTTCACGACTGAAAAGATTCGTCGCGGCTTCCTTGAACTAGGAGAATATGGCACAACCAGTGTCACCCAGAAAATGGTGCGACCTGACATGCAGCGGCGTGACGCGAACAAACTTCGCAATTTACAAATTTTCACGACTGAAAAGATTCGTCGCGGCTTTCTTGAACTAGGAGAATATGGCACAACCAGTGTCACCCAGAAAATGGTGCGACCTGACATGCAGCGGCGTGACGCGGTCAAACTTTGCAATTTACAAATTTTCACGACTGAAAAGATTCGTCGCGGCTTTCTTGAACTAGGAGAATATGGCACAACCAGTGTCACCCAGAAAATGGTGCGACCTGACATGCAGCGGCGTGACGCGGTCAAACTTTGCAATTTACAAAATTTCACGACTGAAAAGATTCGTCGGGGCTTCCTTGAACTAGGAGAATATGGCACAACCAGTGTCACCCAGAAAATGGTGCGACCTGACATGCAGCGGCGTGACGCGGTCAAACTTCGCAATTTACAAATTTTCACGACTGAAAAGATTCGTCGCGGCTTTCTTGAACTAGGAGAAAATGGCACAACCAGTGTCACCCAGAAAATGGTGCGACCTGACATGCAGCGGCGTGACGCGGTCAAATTTCGCAATTTACAAATTTTCACGAC